TTGAAGTAATGCAGCAGGTTGCACTTAGATACTGTTAGGATGGTCAGGTTATGCTATGCTTAGTTGTTAAGAATATTTATATAATTGCAAATGTAATTTCAAAATCTTAATAAAGCACTAGCATGACTGCTTAAGTTAAAAAAATAAAAAAAATAAAAAAAATAAAATAAAATATAAAATTATTAAAGATTTGATTTTTAATATATTTTTGAAAGATTATAATTCTGATCATTGTTTGAATCCAAAACATAACAACAAAAAATTATTGAAAAAAACAAATAGTAATAATTAGTTCAGTAATATTAATAAAAACATTATGCTATTATATAAATTAAAAGATTATAATTATTTTAAAGAAAATAGTATATTTCAAATACTTAAAGAAATTATAATTATAATATTTTCTAGCTATAATAAATAATATATTTAGTAAATCATTTGGAATAAATAAAATAATTAATTTATTACTCATTATTTAAATTTTTTTGTTTGTATTTTTTTGTTAAGCTACATGAATTTTTAGTATTTAATATATTTGTTATATAATATTTGAAACTATTTTTAGTAGTAACTTTATCATAGTCTTAAAAATTGGCTCATTAATATTAATATAGACTAGATGATATATGAATGCAAACCAAATAATTTTATATTAAAAATCCTATGCATAATCCATTACTACATTTTAGCAATAAATCTATACAAATTGCTTCTATTTTTTAAATTATTTTTTTTGCAAATTTGCTTTAAAATTTTTTTAAAACACTTATTTTTAAAATAAAATTTAAAAATTTAATTTTAGATATATATTTTCTAAATAAAAAATATATTTTAAATATATTTTAATAAGTTTATTAAAAAAAATTTTAAATCTTTTAAGAATATTAAGGATAATAAAAGTTTAACTTTTTTATTTTAAAATTAATTATACAATTTTTCTTTAAATATTTTAAATTTTATATGTTTTCATTTATAAAATATTTTTTTACTTTAATACTAATTTAATTTTTATAAATAAATTAAAAAAGTTATAATAATAAATATTAGCATTCTTTATTTAAACAAAAATTTTTCTTAAATAATTATAACTTAAAATTAATATTTAAAAAGTTTATTAAAAAAATATAAATTATTTTTTTTAATTATAAAGTTTTTTTTTTTATAAAAAATAACAATTAACTCTTTTTAATAATCATTTGAACCATACTTTCCAAAAAGCTAAACTATAAAAAATGATATAGTTAATATATTAAACTTTATGAAAACCTTTCTAAAATATTATACACACATTGTTGGACATTGAAATAGAGTTGAAAAAGAGTTACAGCCTTGCAGTGATAGTTTAAAGAGCACTCTAGGACTATAGAAGAAGTAGTTGATAAAAGTCAAGGTTTCTTATTAAGTAAACAACAAAATTGGATATATTAGTTCTATACAATTGTAAAACCTACAAAGAACATCCACAAGAGTTAATAACTCACAAAAGCTAAAAGTTAGTTCACCTAGCACTCTCACTTTTTCTTTAAGGAAAATTTTGTAAAAGTAGATAATTTAGTTTTTTCTTTCCTAAAGATTGACATATAAAATTATTAAAACAGTTAGCATGTTTATTTTTTAAATAGAATTATTTATGATATAGATCGAAAATAATACAGCAATACAAACACAACTATACATATGCTTAAGCTACTAAAAACCTGTTAAACACTGCCTTCAGACTAACCAGTATGCTATACTAATCCTTATGATAAAATTGAAATTTTTTGCACCTTTTTAGTTTTTTATTTAAATAATCTAAGTAAATAAAAAGATAGTAAAGTAATTTCTATTTAGTATAGTTTATAATTTTTACAAGTCTAATACAGACTTATAATTGTGTTTGTCTAATATCTGTGAATTACAAGTTTTATATCTAATACAAGCTTAAAATCATAATCATCTGATTTTGTGAATTGCAAATTTCATACTTTTCTTTTTTCTTGGTTTTTCCTTTTCGTCTTTTATTTCTTGTTTTATATCTTTTATCATTTACCCCTATACCTCTGTTTTTTTTATATATATAAAATTTTTTTTTTGTTTTTTTGTTTTTCTATGAGAAGATGTCATCAGATTGATGGTATTCTATTGTAGGATGACAATTAGATGAGCAGTCTACCTCTGTTTGAGGTAGTGCAACAAGTTTCACATAGGTACCAATAAGGTGGCTGGGTGATGTTAGATTTAAGTATTAGAAAAATTTTCTGTAATTTGTATAGTATCAAGAATTCTAATAAAGTACTAGAGTAACTACTTAAATTAAAAAAAAAAAATAAAGTTTTTAAAATTTATACATTTTTGACTTATAAACAAGTTAAATTTTTTATCTTTTAATTTAAATATAAATTTTATAAAAATATAATCTTTGTTTTTAAATATTACCAAAAAAAATTTACTTAAATATATCTTTTATTTGAAAAAATAAATCAGAAGTATTTTTATAATAAAATTTAGGACAAATTTGTCCTGAATTTCAAATAGTTTAAGAGATAAAAAAATTTTTTTTTGGTCCAATAACACTGCTTGGTATATTTGTCACATTAAAACTTTGAGTGCTTCCAACCAAAAATTTTTGATCATTGCTCTTAGCTGATTAAAATTGAGAATCCACTGAAACAATTTTGTTATGACAGCTAGAAGTAATCCATGAAACCACTTCTATGCAATCTTGATTACTACTCTTCATGTGCCTCCAGGATTACAGTTTTGTAACTCATGACCCAAGTTTTTTTAGGATCGACCTGACCTATCGACCCATATTACTAGATTATTGTATGGATATGTAGTGAATAACCTCATATTATTTTCTCTTAAATTTTTTTTATAAGTGCAAGTCTCTGATAATGTGTTGTTGGTTCGGAAATCACCAACTCTTGCGTAACCTACAGTGGCTAAGTCGAAACAGGCATGTTAGATTTAGCTGGTGGGTTCTTGTCCGTAAGTAAGTACTGGCCTCATCTTGAGTTTTTTCTTAAATATATTCATTCACTAACTCTTGTCTTCTTTTATGCCTCAACACAGGATTACACTACGTCGAATCGGGGTTGGAACTCTTCTCTTCGTGTAGGTTCTCTCTTTACTTTAACCTCGGCTTTTCTCACTACGTTGGCCGGTACTAGTCCTTCTCTTTTACTACTACTTGAATTCACTACGTCAAATCAAGCTGGAATCTCTGGGAAGATTTTAAGAAATGTAGTTTAAACAAGTCTGTTTATTTCTGGTAAACAAATAACGTCATGATAAGCTTATCATGTGATCGTAAATCTCTTCGTGTTGCACCAGAATTTTTTAGGTCACATGCTGATCGGCGACAAATTTAGCCAATGGGAAATCGATCAAAACAAACGTTCGTTTTGACAAAAAAAACGCTCTTTATGTTCTAATAAAAAAATTTCCATGCCTAATTTTATTATATATGCTCAATTTTCAAACTTAAGAAATTCGAAATTGGTTTGTTCATAAACACGTGACCCGAAAATTCGCGTCACTGGGCGTCTGATCACGTGACGAAGGCGAGCGGTCAATTACGATTTAAATTGTTCTTGGGTGAACGGATAGAGTTAGTAAAGGGATTAATGATAGATACTAGTTTTTATGTACTTTATTATGGATCAGGTATTTGTGTTATTTGCAATTGTAATTACTTGGATCCCTTCTCCCGGGGCGAGAATGAACTTTTTTTAAATAAAAGATTTATTTTACATTAAATATTAATTTCTTCTACATTACTTATTTACAATATATCGTTGTTAAACCCCTTATTTCTACCAACACAAAGAAAAGGTTGATCCCTTATATCATGTCGATCTATCTGAAGTAGTAAAAGTAATCGAAGTAAATTTCTTTTACTTTTCTTGTGACCAATTTCTCGACGATCAGTCACGTGCCAATCGTGTTATCGTTAGGACCAATTTTGAGATTTATGACATAATAAAGATTAGATTTAACTATATTAAGAAGTAAAAGTTTAATCAAAAACGTAAATATTTTTAAGTATCTATGATTCAATAATATTTTATTGGTAATGCTCTTAATTCAATTCGGGCGGATATGTACATGATATCAAGTGATTTTATTATAAGTAATTTAAGAAAAATAAGTCATATTCATACCTTTAATAATCCCATAGAATCTAATAATGTTTGGATGACAATAGCTTAAACTTTTATTTCAAGTCTTTGTTAAAGAAGTTTGTGATAAATAATTCAAGGAGTAAGTTATTTGTTAAAGAAGTTTGGGATAAATAATTCACAGAGTAACGTAATAAATACCTCACTGACCATTAAAAATTTCTACGTATTGGAAACATTTACATGGAGCCAAAAATGGTGGCACTAATTTCACCGATACTCATTTCACCGGCACCTGATTTCAACCGACGCCAATTTCTCGACACTCATTTTCTCAACATTATAATTTTCCCAACAGTATAATTTCTTGTCAGGTAAATATTTTGTCGAGAAAATTGATGTCAGGAAATTATACTTTCAGGAAAATAATACTATTGGCAAAATAATACTATTGGCAAAATAATACTGTTGGGAAAATAATACTGTTGGGAAAATAATACTGTTGGGAAAATGAGAATCTGGAAAGTGAAATCAGATGTCGATGAAATTAGAGTCGAGAAAATCATATAAAACTTTTAGTCATGCATGTGCATTTTGAAACATTTCGATAATATATATTAAAATGTTTAAAGCTTTTTTGTTTTTATATTAATCATATATTTTATTTTTTACAATCATTTAAATAATTACATAATTTATAAATCTATATATGTATATACATATAATTTTTTTTTAAAAAAAAATGTTCTTACAAATAATTAGATATCTCTTATATAAGACATTAATTCTAGTAATGAATAATTGAATCGATATTATACATAAAAACTATAATATTGAAAAAAAATTTTTGCTTAAAAAGTCTCAGTTATATACAATTTTCTATCATATAATCTATCAGGTTTCACAAGAGTAATACCATCTTTTAGCATAATTTGCATTAATAATCCATCCATCGACTGGATAAATTTTTTTAAGTAATGATTCATTCATTTCAATTGTATGAATTGAATGGTTATTTTCATTTATATCAATCAATAAACTATTTGCGTTTAAAAGATTATAACCCAATAGATTGAAACAAGTAACGGAAGTAAGGTCAATGTATTGTAAATTTGGTAAGGCCATTAAAAGATCTTTAATAAAATTTAAGTTAGTAATTTGTGCTTTTGAAATACCAAGATTTTGTAAAGATGGACAATTCTCTTTAATTGTCGTTAAAACTAAAGGTGTTATCTGTGAAGAACCAATATCTAAAGTTCGAAAATTCTTTGCGTTTGGTGAACGAAGTATAGAAATTAAATCATATTCATTAATAACTGTAGTAGTGATATCTTTATCACCATAAAGATTAAGAGTTTCCAATCGAGAACATTTTGAAACAAGAGATGAAATGGCTTTGGAAGGAATATTTTTACATTTAGCCAATAATAAATGGGATAAATTTGTTGGAATATTTGTTTCAGCTAAAAAGTTTAATGTTAAATCGCTAATAGAACAACCACCCAAATCAAGATATGTAAGATTTGGAGCATGAGCGAGGATAGGTATGATGATTGAGTATTCAGAAATTACTGGACACTCATGAAATGAAAGTCTTTGTAAATGAGATAATAAAGGTTGGGATGTCATGCGAAAAGAAAACGTTGTCTCATCATAATTATTGCAATTTGATTCTATTTTAACACGACCAATTAAACTAGAAAACATATCTAAAGCATTACTAAATCGTTTAGTAGCACATCCACAGAAATCAATAGTTTTTATGTTTTTACATTCTATAAATAAAACTTTTAAAACATCAAGGGTAATTACAAATTCCAAAGATTTTGATATGGAAACAGCTTTTAATTCGGAAAAAGATCTTAAAATATGAATTAAAAGTTCAGGAGTGACAAACTTTTGAGGTTTAAAAGAACTTTTTTGGAGGTCGCAGGTAGAGAAACTGGAAAGATCCAAGTGATGAATCATTTGAGAACAACGTTGTTTAATGTCATTCATGACATTGATGAAAAGCGTAAACGCATGAGGAGAAGTAAACGCGATAGTATTATATAATATTGGAGTAGCATGAAGGTTAAAAGTATGATTTACCAAAGTACAAGCAGCGATAGTTTTTTTATCATCCCTCAATAAATTGAGAATAATTTGAATAATTTCAGGAGGAATATAAGGGATTGATACATTTTTCTTCGCCGAGACAATTTGTGAACCGGTGAGAGCAGGCATTTTGTTGATTAATATAAATTATTAATTGGGAAATAAATTAGTAAGAAATTTAATTTATTGAAAGTTTATAGGTAACTGATTTATGTAACAGATTTAGGTAATAGATTTTTAAAATATTGTAATCTCTTTTAATACTTTGTTAGGTGTTTAGTGCTGGATTGAAAATTATCGAAAATTACATGAAGGATTTCAAGCCATTATATAATTTTATCGCATATAAAGATAATATTTAAAGATAATATTTAAAAACTAATATTAATTCCCACAGGTGACCAACTTAGAGCAAAATTTGACGTTATGTTATGTTATTTATTTGTGGCTACAATAGTGAAAGCCGACCTATTATTAGGTGGTTTGACAGAAGCATCTACATTACCAAGCTTTTTTTAATTTAATTTAATTTAATTTAACCTACATAAGAAATGGCACGGTATTTGTGCTACATGGTACTCTTGGTCGAATTTGGTTATGATCGTACATTTTTTTCTAAATTCGGTATTGTATTTATTGCAATGAGCATGCTGTACTGAATAGCACGAACAACACGAACAGTGTGGGTAGCGATGACCTCGCAAGTGAAAGAGCTTCGAAAATCAAATTTTTATTTACCTTAATTTTTTTTATATAATGTGCTAAAAAAAAGGATAAATGATACGAACAATCTTTTTATGAATATTCGATTTAAGATTATCAACTGTTGTGCAACACTTCACGGTTTGTGCGTTACTCTCATGATTCATGATGAAATTGGTGGTTAATGTTATTGAAGATGATTATAAATCAGATAATAATCAATTTGATCTTCCTATTATATTGTGTAAATAAATATGCCGGTACTTTCGCAATGTTTAAATTAATAATTTTATTATATATATTATTTTGATACTTTTATTGTCTAATATCAGCTAAATTAAACAATTACACCTACTTTCATGAATTACTAATAGTTTAATTATCGTTACCCGATTTTTTAAAAACAATCGTGAATTATTAAAAAATAAAACTATCACAGATTCAGAAAAAAATACATTATTTTCAGTAACTTGATGTTATAACTAATATCTAAATACTTTTAATATCCTTAATACGCAATAATCATCCTTATTATCCTCATTTTTTAGCAAGTTACTTGCCCTATTTTGTTTTATTACGTTTTATTTCGATTTATTTTGTTTTATTTTGTCTTTTAGTTCATATAAGTGACAAGGACTTGTACATGTCACCAACTCATTTACAGTATACATATTTAAATATATTCAATTAAAGCTCACCTAAAAAATCAGAAAAACCTTATTTTGTATTTATAAATTTAAACTCATGTTGCAAAAAAAAAAAAGCCGAGTAACAACGCGCCACCAACAGTGGCTCTTTTCCAACTATACAGGATAAAGCTGATTTATCCCCTACAATCTATGTAACATAACATCCCTGTACTTATTTTAGAGCAATCAACTTCTGTATAATCGCAACCACGTTATAAGCACCTAAAAAAAAGAGGAATTTACAAATAAGGGCCGGAAAGTGAAAATAATTACAAATATGGACCCAAATTAAAAATAATTACATAAAAGGCCTAATTTTTAAAAAATATTACATATAGGGGTCCAAAATAACAGCGACATTATTCAAGTGATCGTTATTAGTATAAGAAATATAAGCATCGATAAATGTAGTTATTAATAATAATCGATTGTAAATTTCATTTTCTTTGTATAAAATCGGTTATTGTTATAACAAACCACTATGATATCAAATAAAGTACTGCGAATTGGGATAACATTTACTAAAAAGAAGATAATTGTTCTGCTCTTGAGAGTTACTCTGTTGAAACATCATCATCTTATAAATAATTGTGCTAGTTTAACACTACTTTTTATACAATATTTAAGCGAAAATGATCGTAGCCAGCGTTTTATTTATTTTTTTTATCTAATAATTGATATCTAGATAACTCTAAATACCTATAATAAAACATTCAATAATTCTATAATCGCGATTTTGCAATTGTTATAAGTCAAATGGTCAGAGTACTTTGTGGCATAGTAGTTCCGTGATAACGTTCTTCATTCATCAATAAACTTAGGCCTCTATATGTAATATTTTTTAAAAATTAGGCACTCATGTAATTATTTTTAATTTGGGCCCGTATTTGTAATTATTTTCACTTTCCGGGCCCTTATTTGTAAATTCCCCTAAAAAAACTTTATACAATCACAATATTATTAAAATTTTATAATCACATCTCTTTTATGTAAAACACATAGCGTAATTATAAAGGAGGACGACTGTAATAAATTCTAGAGTAGAATTGAGTACGATTTGTTTGTACTTCGAATCACATTTTTATATTTGATTCATTGATTGATTGATATAATACATAGTAATGATAAACTCCAATTAATAATCCTTATGAATGAAATAAAAATAGAAAGTTATCATGAATTTCGAAAAAAAATCAAAAATTTATATATTCATATAACAAATTTTAGCTTGTCGTAAATTAATAAAAAACGTCGGCATGTCCGAAATCAGGATAGCAAAAATTTTTTATTACGTAATTAAAAAAAGGTGATGATTTTTTTGTCCTAAATATATTCAAACCCAGACTTAACTAGTCGACTTCAATCATCACCTGTTTTAAATCGGTGGAAAAATGCTTATGCCTGTTTTTTTTTTTTACCATCCCTAGTCCGAAAGTAGCATTTATTTTGGTATTAATTTTCATGACAATGGCGGAGTAGTTGTTACGATGTACTACGTAATTTTAGCTGCGTACTACGTAACACCCTTAGTTAATTACGTTTTATTTATATGTGTATAATAATAATTATACAAAAGATGAACAAAGAGTTTTCTTTTTGTGGCGTCTAATTTATGATGACTATATTTTGTGGCTGAGACTAGAATGGAAAATTAATAAATTCCATGGCTTACAAATGTTATGAATTCTTTATTATTGAATGAAAAAACATGAGAATTTTTTATCGTTACAATAAAGCCAAATTACTCGAAAGAAACAAGTTGTATACTGTTTACATCGTGGTATAATATTTTTATGCAATATTTCGTAATATTTTGTAGCACCCATTTTAAATGGATCACATTTCAATTTTGCCGATTGATCTACGAGAACTACCATTACCATACTTGGAAAAATCTGATGTGGAGAAATCCGCATTACGTAATAAATTTAAATAAACTTGAATGTAAGAATGATTTTTTTTCACACATTAAAAACGCGGAGTAAGGATCACACGTATAAAACAGAGGTTACACATGAGTCATGGATAATCCAAATATTGTGATTCCAAACAATAATAAGTAAGCAAAAATTATCAGATTTGATTAACTTGCATTATCAGCTATTCATCAATTTCATCAAATTTATCAACTTTATCAATTCTATGTGACAATTATTTTATCCGTGAGAACATTACTGCCTTTAAAAAGGGTTTGTAATACATTATTCAAGTTTCAATTTTTAAACTAACTTATATAGAAATATTGTACCTAAAAAAATATTGTAACTATAAAACTAAAAATGAATTTTAGATACGTATTTTGTTCTATTTATATTAGTAATTATATATTTAAAAGAATCATTATACAAATATACAAAATACTTTATGCAAACTTGACCAATCGTCAATGCTATATACACACACGCCCAACTTTAATTTTTCATCTGACTCTTTGAACAACAAAAGAAAATAATACAATAAATTTAAAACCCTAATTTTATAGCTGAGTGTTTAAATTGAAATACTTCGATATATTTTAAATACAGGCACATCTACGGATTAGAAAATTTTTCATTTAGATATTTACGAGCATTATTATTATAATAGAGATCGCCTAAAGCCTTGTAGTATTTTATATGTGCACGTGATTTTTAATTTACAAATCGATTAATAATCAATTTAAATCATGTTGAAAGATAATATTATTTTCAGGAAATAAATTATTTAATTAAAACCATTATTGCATACCATATCTTGATCCATTCAAGTTTCCTTAAAAAAAAAAGGTACGTTAACCTTTAACGATATTACGAATTACCAATTACCAATTCTCATAACATGTATATTTTTCTTGGCTCCAATACCAACAGTTATTTTCTTGGCTCTAATACTAACAATGATGTTGGTTTACTTTATCATCTAAAAACATCTAAAAATGTTGCTTTGTCAGTAAGAAAGATACGAAAAAGAAGTGTTTCATCACTTGTTATAAGTGTTTTAAACGTATTACAAAATTCTAATCATCGATCAACTTCCATGACTTGAAATTCTTGATAAATGTTATATTTATTGAAATAAAAATTATTAATGTTTCAAATTTGTTTAAAACTTACTGAAAAAATGTTGTAAATTCACACATTGATTATTGTGTCTTTTTTGAAGAGAGTTAATAATAACACATTGATGATATTGAAGAGTACTTTAGTTGCACTTATTGGATATCCAGATCGATAAGAATCTGCAATGTTACCTGTTTTCATAAATTTATTTATAAGATTTCATGTGTAAACTCACATTTTTTTTCAAATTTCATGTGCATGAAATGAGTTTGCGAAATTTTCGGTTCTCATTATGGTGACATGTTAGCATTAAGATAATATTAATATAAATGTATATAGTATTTGAATTTATGTCTATTCTCTATATATTGTGTTAAAATTTAAACGAAACATATAACAATAGTGATAACAGTAATACCATTTTAATAAATCCGTGCAATAGTAATTTGATAACCTACCAGCATTATGAGCACATGATTCTACATTTTATGCTTATTGCACATCACTAGGTTTAACTTATTAGGGTAGTTTAGGCGAAGGATGCTCGTAGTTTCAAAAGAATACCAGGAACGGAGTGATGAAATCACGTAGTGTATGGTTATACGGCGATTTAAACGATGTTCGTCCTCAAAAACTCGTAAATGATTGGATAATGCATCAAATGCACTTAAATTTCACAATGTTACATCGTCA